TAAGTGCTTGAAATACTGAATTCATCCAGAGCCTGTTTTAGTCAGTTATTACTCATCTAAAAACATATCGAAATCCAGTCGTATCCAGTTAATGCTGGTGTGTCTGACGTTTACCAGCGAGAAATCCTAATCTTTTTATTTTCTTTGAACCCAATTGGTCAGAAAAGTATTATTTATTTATTTACTACAGATTTGTCTTTGTTTGTCTATGTAAACTGACAGGTAAAACAATAAAATACTATATGACAGTAGATGGATAAAATATATATGTATATATTTTAAATATAGAGTGGGACCCAGAGCTGTTGAATTTCCTTTCTTCAATTCCTGCCTGTATAGTAGTGCTGTGTTCAGCTAAACAGGCCCAGGTTTCATACTGAGTAATAACAATGCAAACATTGAAACTAGAGGATATTTTTAAAACATTTCTTTTTGGTGGAGCACTATGGGATATTTCTAAGAGAAAGTATGAGCCAGTACATTGGAGAAACCAAACGGCCTCTGTACAAATGTATGCAACAACACACGACCATGTCCAACTGCAACCTGAGGCTAAAGAATTCTCTCTTTAGGATAAGAACGTACATGTCCGTGCTGGAGAAGACAGATGTTTTTAAAGGAGTCAAAGAAGCCAGCTACGGTATGTCCACCTGGAAAAGCCATCACTCACCAACAGAGGAGGCTTCAAACACCAACCAACTATGCACAATGTGGTTCTCTCAAACAGTGAACAACACCAACGGACTCCTAGATGCACAACAACAACTGTGTCCCTCAAGAATACCAACAACCCCTCCATTCACCCCTTGACTCCGGTGAAACTAACTTGCTGTAAGTAGGTCAGGGGTTGGGTGACCTTCATTGTTTATCCTAAAGACTCTCCATTCAGGTTTTCAGCTCTCGAAGAGTGAATACCAGGAGTCAGTTAATGTAGAACTGAAGGTTTCTTCAGATGGAACGTCTTCAGGAATCAGGACTTTGGTCAGGACTCCCCTGTACTGCATACTCTATAATATTACTACAACCCAAGAATTATCATACTGTACTTGGATTTGATTTTTTTTTTTTTTTTTTTTAGTAAAGAAAGTGAACCCATTGGTACGACTGATGTCAAGTGTATCTCTGTAATCTTAACAAACTTATGTTTTCTATTTGGAACTAGAGTAAATTAAACACAATAAATAACATAAAGTAATAAATTGTCTGAGTTTCTGATCACAACACGACAACAGGTGGTATCAGTGTTGCCTCATTTTAGTCTTGCAGGTAATCATACAACGTTAGTACACAGTGAATACCGTCTGTGTCTTAACCCCAGGGTGTATCAGAGTACAGCGATACTTCAGTGTGATTCCATACTCATCTGAATGCTTTTATTACTCTTGAGCTGCCAGTCGTCCTGCTTCTCCTCCTCACCTCCCTGACAGAGTCTTTTATCTCATGTCAGAAGATTATATTTTTGATTTCATCATCCTCAAAGTCACTTAACAAAACTTTGTGCTAGTACACGCTCACTTTGATCTATTCCACACAATTCCTGCATCCTTAAAAGTCACCGGTGAAGCACAGCCGACAGTGTTGTGTTGTGTTGTATAGTTGTTGAACTGTATGAGATGTTGGCTCAGGGAACCATCAGTGTGTACAGACTTACAAAGACAGTGTGGCTAAAATGTCGGGGCGTGTCTCAAAAGAGTGTCGTTGGGCTAATTGAGATTTACACCTCTGGTTTAAAGGTTGCTATATTAAAAAATAATCATGAAATTCAGCCTTTCAATGACATAGTTGAGATTTGTTTTTATTAATTTTTTTTATTTTTTTGGTAATTTAATAGTAAACCACACGTCTTTCACAAAGACTGCTGGGTAATGACACTACAGAAAGACCCTGCAACTAAACCTCAATCTGTGTGGTCCTGACGAGTACAGCTGGACCTGACGACACACACACACACTCACGTACACACACATGCAGGCAGCCACACTTGGCTCAGTGAAGACCCCCCCCCTCCCCCTCCCACTGCCCTCCTCCTGTCTCTGTCCTTTCTGCCTGCAGCTGCTGGCCAGCCTGTCAGTTCCCAGGCATCAAAGTTTCACAGATGACGCTTTCTCACTCCACCTAGTGGTCAGCACATGACCTGCGGCCATTACATCAAGGGTGAAAAAAAAATTTAAAGTTTACAATACTTTCAGTGTGTGTGTGTGTGTGTGTGTGTGTGTGTGTGATGCCATATAATGTATTAATATACTCAGAAGCCTCGTTTAATAAAATACACGCTCACAGAAAAAGTGACACACCATAAGCCCGTATGTCCACATCCTGGACCAAAGGACCAAAGGTAAACGAAGTACGTCAACAAAAGAGTCTGTACTTTGTACATCTTAAAAATATAAAATTAAATTAAACAAAAGCTTATAAACTATTTGTAGGCTGTAATCTGGAACAGAAAAAAAAACTAAATTAGTCAAACAACAAAGCTGCCAAGAAAAAATAATAATTGAGGAATGCTGGGGTTTTTTGGATTAGTAATGATTAATCATGATGAATCCATCTCCCCGTAAATTAATTACTAAAAATTTTAATTGTTTGACAAGCCTAATTTAATTCTATTTTGTTTTCGCTAGATGACATATCCATCCATGCATCTTCGTCCACTTATCCGTTACCGGGTCGCGGGGGCAGCAGTCTCCATGACACTGCACCGCACCAGCCCTTCACGGACCTTCCTGCGGGTGGTGAGTCCACTGGAAGACGCCGACCGCCCCAACCCAGATTCGATCTTACCCAGGAGGTGAACCTAGGGCCAAAGCCAAAGCGCCACAAGACGACATATCCTTACTACTTATATACCTTTAAACAACTGAAAACATTAACCAGCCTTCGTCCTCTGAACCCGTTGAGATCAATTTCTGATTCTGATTTTCACTTGTTCTGAGAACAGCATGAAAACCAAGTGTTTTTGCACCACTGTTTGGACACTAATCTCTGTGTGTGTGTGTGTGTGAGTTTAGGTCTGAGACATGTTACTTCTCCCTGACAACTGACGACTGTACAACAGGCAGAATGGATGTGGATGAAAGCAGTCGAGCAGTGGAAGAATGGGGAGAGGGGGGGGCACAGGTGCAGCAGACTGTGGAGGTGAGGGTAGAGGTTCCTGAGCTCAGGGTGTGATTGTAGTGCAGGTCAGCAGGTCTGGACCTCATTAAGACGACAGTCTGGAAACTTTGAAGCTCAGAGTTGGCACCGTGTCACCTGAGGCTCTGTCATTTGAGGCGGCGTGAGGGAAAACCCTGGGTCATTAATGTGTCTCTGTGTTTTCCAGGTCGCACGGTTCAACGCCGGGGCTGTTACATGAACACACTGACACACCGAAAGGCACGGTTGCAGCATACGCTCCTGTAATTGGCATTCGCAATCCTGAGCCTGTGAACTTTAAAAGGCAGGTACATCATCACAGCCGCATCACTTTTGATCATCCATGAACAACCCTCCCTCATTTCTTCTCCCCAATTCTCTCTCTGAGGTTAGATGAAAACTTGTGGGATTTGGGGAAGATCTTTCTGCAGCAGCTTTTAAAAGACGGTGGAGGTATCAATCAGGTGCTGATGTTACACTGATGCAATCTTTCAGCCTCAAGAAAGGAGGTTATTTCTGGATGCAGTACTACTTTACACCAGCAGAACACAGCTAATGTTCTGTGAACAAATGCTGTTCATTTTTAACAATACCTCTGGTGGTATTTTAGCTTTTAGCAAAACTTGACAGCAACAGAAATTGTTATTTCGACCTCTTATTAAACACCTTCATAAATACATTAATTTTTGTAGACACGAGACAGAGGTGACTGAGTTTAAGATGCTGCGGTTTTCGGTGAGACTGACCGGGATTAACAAGATTTCACAGGGACAGCTAAGGTTGAGCAATTTAGTGATAAAGAAAGAAAGTCAAGGTTTTGATGGTTTGGCCATGTGCGGAGGAGAGATAGTGAATGCGCAGCACAAAGGATGATGGAGACAGAGCAGGTCGCAGATAAATTTGGAAAGGCAAGTCTGACATGGTTTGGACATGTGCTGAAGAGAGATAGTGGAGCAAGAGTGTGAAGATGAAATGGTGAGACAAAAGGTTAAAACAAAGAAGGAAACACTCCATGTAAGAAACTGACGCAGACACTAAGATGTAGCAGTAACGTTTAGAACTCATTACGTAAAATACAAAGTTGATGCAAATGAAATAAATGGGGGGGAAAAAACCAGGGACCACTAAAAAATAAAAAATCACTTTCGTGACGCATAAGGACAATATAACACCAACACAATAGTTAAAAAAAGAAAAAGAGGTTTTACTCACAGTTGATCTGATGGTCAGCCATCTTGGCTGGAAATTCCAGGCCTTTCGAGTTCCTGTCAGGTAATAAGCAGGAACTGTAACCACAGGCCTTCATGTTCCCACTTATTGGATGTGGATGGATGATTTGGGAACAACTTGGAAAAGTACAAACGAAGCTCTCGTTTTTATACAGTTGATGCAGTCCTGGCCACAGTACGTTGGCTCCTTAAAATGCAAATGTTTGGAGGCTAATGCTGCTTCTGCTAAGTTAGCAGCAAGGATTCATTTTTTCTTATTATCTGTGTAGCACTCCTTCCAGTACAAAATCCATCCAGTGGAGAGAGCAACACCACAAGTACAGTGTACACAAGTGGTTCAGCCATTTTCAAACCTCCACTTCCTGCTGCAGCTGACCACGCCCACATTACAATTGATCTGATTGGCTAACTCAGACAAACAAAACTGACCAATCAAATGTCAAATACTGGCACTGAATCCCTTAAGGCACCTGGCGGGTCTGTGTTGTCCCACAATTCTGGCACTGAATCCCTTAAGGCACCTGGTCTGTGTTGTCCCACAATTCACACCTTAGCCATTTGGTGGCAGTATTTTGAATGACTTTTTTTTGGATTTTTTTTTAAATTAAAGACACAACAAAGGGACGACATGACTCTTTATAGTGTATTCAAACCTGTTTATTCTCATTCTTTTCAGATTTCATTTATGTCTTCATCAGAGAAGCACAATGTAGAGTTGTTTCTAAAGTGTTCTTACATTCACGTGTGCAAGTGTAGCAAATAAATAGAATAGAATGTGGGTCTCATAGAATATAATCTCTTTTAAAAATGTCTCGATAGGAAATATAGTTTGTTTTTGTTTTTTTTTTCATACAAGCAGAATATGTACAGACAAGATCGGGAGCAGGAGGTCCTCAGCCTTGTTCCCAAAACCCCGAGAATAAAAAGATCATTAGCTTATCCTTATCATAAACAGATATTGAAAATCAAGCTACAGCAAATGTGCAATCAGCCCAGGGATAATTTGATCCTCCAACATCCAACAGCATGTATATTACAGCACAAGGGTGTGGGTGATAATCCCAGAATAAGTACACATACGGTTCACTTCCTAAAGCAGCAGCCTTTAAATCGGAATCTTTGGAAATAAATACACGGAAATAATGGAATAAAAATTAACTACTAAAATTACTAAAATTAGGTTCTTTGATAGAAAGCAGGAGAAAAGTTCTTATTTCATAAATCTGAATTAAACATGTCTCCACCAATCAACACGGAGGCATAAAGGTGCTACAGATCCGATGTGGATCAGTTGTTTTTCTTGCGGCCGGACGTCCTGCCGCACTCTTTGGGTTCGTTCTTGCAGGACGCCCCCTTTCTCTGGTCTGCATCCCTGCACGATCTCTGTGCCTCCTCCGTCAGGGCGGCGCAGGAGGAAGAGCGACTGAAGAGGGTTTTGTAGATGAGCGACTCGATGGCTGCGAACGGTGATGTGGATGAACGAGTCAACATCATCCTGGACTGGAAAAACCAAACAAACATGTCAACATGGAGTCGTGTGAGGCAGAGTTGGATGTTCTTCTTCATTATAAAGTCTGATTCGTGTGTTCTCTGCTAACCTTAAAGTGTTATCAGTACCATTGGGCTAACCTCTGGCTAAATCAGAGCTTGTTTCTGTTTCTGTTTGGGCTACATTTAGGCTCATCAATGCCTCTTAGCTGTTAGCCACATTTAGATCATTTCTAGCTCACATAAACAATTTGCAATTTAGTATTTTTTTAAACTATTTTAATAAATACACGGCTAACCAAACTATGTAAGTGTGAGTTCTTTAACTTGTTTAAGTTGTGTTTGTACACAAGCTGTTGGTTGATTTAGCTAAAGGCTAAAGGCAGCAGTGCTCATATTACTCATTATTAAATAAAATAGCTAACCTTTAGCCATGTTGCTACATTTTTGTAAATTGTATGTGGCCATTTTGCTGGTTCACACATTTAACTTACACTCACTTTTAGCTATCCCTTTTTTTTAGCATATTTCATTTTAGCTAATATTTAGGGTAGCTTTTAGCCATGTTATTGGCTACCTCTAAGCTAAGGGGTTAGAGGGAACCAGTTATCGGATTTCTGCCAAACATGCAAAAGGTTCAAGGTTTGATTCCACTAAGTCCTCAGTCCTAAGAGAATCAATCAGGAACAAAAAACTCTACTGTGGTGATGAAGGGACAAGCCGAAAGTGATTCATTAGCTAACTTATCTTGCAATTGTTTGCCTAAATGTATGCAATTCATTAACCTTCTTCTGCATAGCCCATGACTTAGTTTAATTTGTGTTTCATTTGTTTATTTCCAGCTGTTCTTGGACATATTCCACAATGTCCTGACCTGAGCTTTAACTATTTATCTTTACACAGACTTGATGTTATTTTTAGCCACTTCCTGTCTGCCTTCACAAAATTACTGTGTTGTACACAATTGGCAGATGATTTAGTAAGTAGCCCTAAAAGTTCACTGGACATTTTCAGTCCTTCTTTTTTCAGTATTTGTCCTTTAATCAGACGGTACATTTAAAGGGCAACGATAATTTCCATCAACAAAATCTTTCATGTTGTAAAGATTATGTACGTGCATCCACCTTCAGTCATAATTTTGTGTCTGCATTATGGGAAACATCAAGAGTGTTGGGATGACTAAAACGTCGACATCTGATGAAACGGCCGTGTCCTCATTTGACACATCAGAGTCAGAGGGAGTGAAGGCATTGATAGTTGAAAGGAGACACGGCGGATTTATCTGCGTCTCAGTCGAGAGCACAAGTCTCCCAGAGATGAGAAGAGAAGATGATGCAAGCTGATGAAAATGATGCAAAAGTCTAAGCCCTGTGGGTAATACCCAGCTAATGTGAGTCACCGCAGCTAAAAGTGGAGGGAAAAAAAGAGAAGTGGAGGAAGGAAGGTCATTTAAAAGACAAGTCTTCACAGACATGAAGGAGCCGCAGCGCCCCTAAAACAACACTGGTGGGAGCAGAGCTGTACAGCCGAGTCCCCGTCATGTACCAGACACAGACTGCAGACTGACCTTGTTGACGACGATGAAGACGGTGTAGATGAACATCAGGTGGTGCTTCTGCACAGGCAGGTAGTGAGTCTGCTGCAGTGCAAACAGCACCGCGCCGATCAGCGTGATCTTGGTGGGGCTGAACAAACAACACCGTGAGAATTTACCAGGTTTTAGACACAGTAGAAAACACCTTTTTCTAATTATATTTTATTTAGAAAAACAATTTTTTTCTCATCTCTGATTTACAATGAAACAAATAACCTACACATTCCTCTGGTCTGAATTCAGATATATTTCACTACATGTTGGTGCAGTGAGCACAAAGTCGTAAGAATAAATATCAGTGTTGACACCAAACATATACTGTGTCTTCAATCAATAGTGTTCCATTTTTTTTGTACCCCAGATCCCACTGATGTAAAATCCCACTCTAAACAGTGGAGAGAAAAGCTTTTCCTTCTTTTGACTTTCAGGCATTTCAATGATCTCGTTAGAAACATTTAGAAGGTAAAAGTTCAGCCCACATCTTGCTAAATCCAAGGCCTTGTTATATTTTCAAGGTTATATTTTGAAAGCCCTTATACTATTTTTAAGGCCTTTTGTTGCAAATGTATTAGATTTGAATGGATTAAATGTTTGCTTACTTTATCTAACTTTTGTTGCAAATATTGTACCTCTTTTTTTTATTATCTACTTATCTCCTCTCTCTACATTAAGGCTAACTAAGATTATTTGTTGATTGATAATTGTTTTTGCTAATTTTTCAGATAAATGTAATTTTTCTGAATTAGCTTTAAATTAACCTTCTAACCCACCTTTTAACTATTGTTGCTATTTTTCTGATCAACTAGAAATTTAAGGACTATCACTCAATTTTTTCTTTGTTAAATCTTGATCATTTTTAACTCAAGGCTATCCTTTAGCTATGTTTAACTGTACATTTGGATAATTAGCAACTGAATATTAGACACAGGTGAAAAAAAAACGAAATGTTAACTAGCTGTAGCAGTTTTTGCTTATTTTCTTTTTCAATTTTGCCGATGTGCAAGCTAATTTTTCAAATTTCAATTTTGGCTACTTGGTTTTTGGCTAGCTACTGCCGTAGACTGAGAACCTAACTATTGGAAAACATTATTTTTGTCTATTTTTCAGTTAACGTTCTGGTAATATTTCAGGTAGTTTAAAGATATGTTTGGCAACATTTACCTCTTTACTATAAAATTGATCAGCAGATCAGAGTCTATGAAGTAAAAATAAAACATGTATTCATTTTTAAGCATTTATCAATTTAACATAAAAATAATTAAGCACTTTGATCTGACAGACTCAGACACACACTGGATAAATTGTTCAATATACAGTAAAATAATAAAGTACTTTTGTAATGTAACATGTAACTGAAGAAAATCCTGAAACAACTCACTAAGACATGTTGAGGAGCTCATTGGTCTCTGGTTTCCAGACACCTCGTACCAGCTGCTCAAAGTTACTGATCAGACCTCCTCCAGCCCCTGGTGTGATGTGATTCATAGACATCCAGTCAGTTCAAAGTCACGTAAATAAACACACCTGACAGCACTGTGTCATGCATCGTAATAAAACCTTGTGTTTGGTACAAAATATACACATCTCTGACCTCTGGTCCAGCCAATGGTGATCATGACCAGCAGGCTGTCCTTGTATTTGTTGTGAGCCTGAGAGACCCCTCCCAGCACCTTCCATGTCCGGGTCACTTCCTTCATCCCTGACAGCACCAGTCTGAAAGGCAGTGTTGCAGCATAGGAGTACACCATGTCCATGGGGCAGTAGAATACCAGGTACCTGAGGAGACATGTGACCCTTCATTAATCCTCCACATGGGATTTTCATAGTCTAACATTCTGAGCCTTCCTCCAAAGAGCAAAACATTAATCCCAGTTGTCGAATGATGGCTAGGATTGACTCGAGCCCACGTGACTCTGTGAAGGATTAAGCAGTAGAAATTGAATGAATATCATCATATTTACATGGTTCACTGCACAGAAGAACACTTTTGGTTTGAAATCCGAGCTGTTTTTCAACCTCTAAAAAATTAATAATACTTTTTGAATATTTTGTTCTTGATTGAAGCCAAATATATACGACAGTCAGACAAGTTTATCACATTCTGTTGTCTACCACTCCTCCAGCAGAGGGCAGTGTGTAATTATTTTTCGAAGACGAGTGTAACTCTATATGCCACCTGATGAGGGCAACAAAGACACATGAATTAAAAATGAGACTCCTACAATCACCCACAGTTGAGTGTCATACCTTCTTCACACATTTATGAATTACTATACATTTTACCAGAGATTTGTAACAGACAATGCTACGTGCAAAAAATATTTTCCGTTTGTCACTTCACCCTACCCTCAAAGAGAAAACAAGGGGTAAAATGTGTAATTAGAAATAAAGTTTATGTTCGTGTAAACTACTTTTTGTATTATACTGCAGCCGAGCATTCTTTTTTAATTTTATGTGCCACTCTTCCTCCGCCGTGACGCTCATGGAAATGGTAAACAAAGTGAGTAATTCGGTGGACAGACAAAAGCCCGCCCACAATGAAAACTGATTGGTCTACTTTGCAAAACTGACCAATCAGAAAACTCATTGTCTTATTCGCGCCACAGGCACACACGTACAGTCCGTCTTTCTCTCTTGCTCTCCTTATCTCTTGTCTTGTGCTTTCTCATGCTTTCTGTCATGCGTTTATAATATTTTTATATAATTTATAATATTCTGGTCAATTCCTTGACATTACGAGGACGCCGTAAATATTTACATTGCCAGAACTTCCGGTACTTTGTGACGTCAGTTATTATTCGTATTATTGTATTTCTGTGTTGTGTGCTTTAAAAACACGGACGTCAGTTAACTCCCTGACAAACACACAAAAACAAAACCTTCTCATCTTGTTCTCCACGTATAAACATCATTATTAACTTTTTTCAGACATCTCTCTCTAATCCTGTTTAAGACTATTAGTCATTTTTACTTCTTCAGATATTTACCAGATGAGTGTTGCAAGGAGAACGCTGGTACTGTTGGTCAACGGTGCCACAGGAGGTTCAGCCAACATGATCCCAGACAGAACAGCTCCACCAAAGCAGAAGAGCATGGAGCTGAACCAGCAGGCTAACGGGCTAGCTCTGGAAACCTGCAGAGCTCCTTTGGAAAAAGAACAGACACAGAAATATGTACGTCAAAAAAGTGCGTTTGGAACAAATTGGGACACAATGTTGTACAATTTGTCGTGAGGGTATAAAAAAACAAAAACTGTCTAGAAATAGTTGCTGGCTCTGTGTATTTTTGTTCACGGGGCAGATTTTTACTACTTGAGCTTTTTGTATTTACGATAGACATTTAAAAGGTAGCCTCTTCATTGTGATTAACTACAGACACTGATGCACACACCCCAGTCCAGCAGGTGGCGGTAATACACATATAGCTTATTTTGCTTATCCAAAAAGATGAGTGATCTCCACATGCAAGAAAGTTTGTTAAACATTGATGGAAGATCAGACCGTATTGCACTTCTAGTCCATGTTGTCTATGATCGTCTCAATGCAAAACCTGTTGCCCACGAGCATGGACTCCAGTGTTAGCACTGGTAGAGACAGCCTTGGTACAGACAACCAGCCCTGAATAGATCAGGTGATAGAGCATAGAGCACCAACAGGCTTAAAACGTCAGCTTGAATAAGAGCACAGTTTACTCTGTGTGAGTTGTCTGTAGTTAAACGCAGCAGCCTGTACTCAGACAACAGAGTAGAAGCAGACGGTGCAGTTGACACAGCAGTTATCCACCTTAGTGGCACAGCAGCTTCTTTAATCCCTGCTATTTTTTAAACATTAACCTGGAGGGGGCAGGGGGGATAAGTGCCACACAGGCTTTATGAAGGACCACTGGTGTAAAGTTGTGTCAAATCACTACTGCCATGTTGATCCCAGCATGCACTATACAAGTGTTTAAATTTTAACCTGCTCAATGTCAACAGATAGCAGAGAACAAAGATCAGGGGAAGGTTTGTGGAGCCCAGCTGTGTCACCAACCTTTGATGCTGGAGCTCAAAGTGCAGAGGCAGAAACACAAACACTGACAGTACAGTACAGTACAGTACAGTACAGTGCAGTGCAGTGCAGTACAGTGCAGTACAGTACAGTACAAGCAGATACTGTAGTTATCAGCTGCTGCCTGTCCCTCTGTGTCCACAAACTGACAGAACAGAGTCCCTACTGCGACTGGTTTTCATTTTCCTCCTGAACTGAAGATTACAGTACAGCACACAGTCTGGTTAATCCAGAGTGAATTAACCTAATCCTGCATATCATTCAAATGTGGGAGGAAAGCACAGTGTCTGGAGAAATCCCATACACACAGGTGGACAAAATGTAAACTTGTAAACACTAAAACAGCTGATCTTGTTGCTGTAAGGCATGAACACATCCCGCTCCTGTACTGTGTTGCCTGCATCTCATACATTTATCATATACTTCAGATTACATTTCTTTATTAACAGAAACATCCTGTTTGTATTTCTTTAAGTAACACTATGAACGTCACATGACTAATGGCCGCTTTACTTCAGGTCTCCTGTCTGTCCACATGGGTGGACACTGTAACATACTACTAATCTGGGGATTACAGGCAGATTATGGACTCCTGGAGGAGGATCTGTAAATCTGAAGGATTTACAGATCTGTGTCTGCAACCTGTCTAAGTGACTCATGGCATGACGTTAAAACTCTAGAAAATAAAGACTAAAACCTAAAAAAAAAAATATGTTCGTAATCAACTCTTTGTGTTTCCAAATTAGACATTTCCGATAATACTTTTTATAAAATAAATTTGGGGATTTTAACTTTGAAATAAGATGAGGTAACGTGGACGATATACCTCATTATACACCTCACATTTAGCAATTTTATTTGTAAAATCTGTTTGGTGTATTTTTGATAACATTTAATATGTAAAACGCGTTTCACACATAAGTCATGTAAGAGTCTCGTATTATAAATAAACATCAAACCTGTCAAACCAGAAGATCGTGTCAGCAGATTTTCCATACTACAAACCAAAACATTTACAAGTCAAAACTGACGAGTTCAAGTCAAGTGCAGTTCCAGGCCCTACATGTCAGTCTGTGTACTTTTTGGAGTTCCTTTCTCCATCTTTTACAACAGCAGATTGCCACAGTGAACTACACTGCTGTGTGTGAAACAACTCTACTGGTTCCAGCAGAGAAACTGATTTTTAGATAGTAAAGATAACTGGCCGTTGACCAAAGGGCTGCAGCAGCGTTTACATAGAGTAACATCAATGACGTAAGAGAAAAAACTATTAATATCTGAATCTTTACTTATAAATCTATAGTAATACATGTGTCACCTTAAAATAAGTATAAAAAGTATAGTGGAGTACTGGGGTCAAATATCTGACCTGGTGGGATGATTTGTTTTTTACCCTGGAGTAGGAAGGGTGTTGGTATTCATGAGGTCATTCTAGGGGTTAAATCTGTAAACAACATTCTCTATAGAACATGGTAAAGGACAAAGCCTAGTTATACATGGATTTCACATGTTCACAAGGTCAAAGTTAAAGATACATGGTTCATCGTGGGAAAATCCAATTTTATGTTTTTAGCCCACAATAAAGAAAATCACTGATTTCTGGCCATTTTTAAGCACATCTTTAGTTCCAGTTTTTCTATACAGTCTGTTTCACCCACTGTATGTGGAACTTGTTCTGCTTTCCCTGTCTTGCCTGTGGTTATTTTAAGAATAAAACAAGATGAGCAAAAACATGAAACTACTGCTCTTCTTCTACGTCAATGTTCTCCCACTTCCTGTATAGGTCCTCTGGCCGTGTGTGTTTCAAATCAACACAGTCCCATTCTGTGATTATGTGGTTTCTTTTTCTCAGCTTGAAACTTTTACAGTTCCTGCAGCAGCAGAGCAAGAAGAAGACAATAACACAGGAAGGACAAAATCACAGAGGGCTGAATTCCTTTCCTTTTTGGGAAATAGAATTACTGGGGATCAGCACCACATGGTTCCTTTATCTTTTACCTTTGTCTTCTAATCCAGCTGCAGTAAAATTATTATTTTAAATCCTTATTTAATGGTTCGTACCTCTCTTTTAACATGTCCTCTTAAATGAACCCAAACATAGACACACAGTGCCATTTATGTCCACTAGTGCTCATGTGACTCACACATGCACAAAACCAGACAGATTTAATGTTGCATTTAAGGACCTCTGAAAGGACTCTCTCCACAGATGGATGAAGGTGCAAACAAAGGGTTAAAAGCCAGTGCAGCCAACATACTTCACAAGGCAACTTCCAAAATAGACTGTACTTATACAGCAGAGGGACTACAATAGGTTGTGTGTGTGTTTGTGTTTGTATGTGTGTAAAGTCCACCTGTCCCTGTGGCCTCTATCCTAATAACTAGACCACTGCACAGGCCCAGGACCAGCCTTTGCTCCGGGCTGTTAACATTTGCTGTAAATGTGACTATCAACACTGTATATATGTTTTAGATACTGTGTGTCATACATGTGTCAGTGTGAATAGCTGGGTTTGTGTTTGTCAAACAGAGAGTGAGTAACTGTGAGCGTAAACCGACTGACTTATTCATGAGAAGCGGATTACTACTCCTCTCAAAGTCAACACCAGCAGCTCCTCCACGAAGACCAACGCTTTATTCATAAACTTTTACACTGACTGATCTGCAGTCTAGAAAATGGCTAGAAAATGGTCATCAAGAGTTTCCCGAGCACTCGTGTCTGCCTGCCAGACCTCACAAGTGTCAGATTTATGTGACAGCTGTGACAATGATACAAGGGATTCTGTTTTGTGTCTTTTATTTCGGTGTATTTTTCTGAGTGAAGATAACTATTTTAGGAGTGCCACCAACAAGGGTAGAGCTGTGTCCTTTCTATGGAGTTCAGTAAGGTCAGCCTGACCGTGTAGCAGGTGCACGCTAGTGTAGTCCATGTACTGAGTATTATTTTTGAGACAACAAAACAGGACTTCAAGGTTCAAGCGTTAATACACGCAAACGCACTTTTATTTTCTCTTTGAACTTTGCGTTATTTGATGTTAGTACAATACATTATAATTGTAATTTGTCAAATTTTGTTTGCAAGGGGGGGGGCAAATGACCAAAAAAAGACTGAGAACCACTACATTAGGGTCAAATCATCATATCATCATCCCGTCTCTGGTAAATATAAAGAAACACTGTAAGTAAGGTGAATGAATAAGACCTGTGTTGTCACGAGGGTCTTATTTTCACACTAAAGCTGATCGTGACTAAAACTATTTAAAAGTCTATGAGTCACTTGACAAGTAGAAAATGTCGTTATAATATTTTAGCCTGTCAAACTACAGTTTATTCTAGCGGTTTTCAAATCTGGACAATAATAATAATAATAATAATATATATGTATTATTTAAATATCAATCAATCAAAATGCCATCTTCTTAGTAGTCTGTCACGTATGTACCTAATTTGTTTACATAAAAGATAGTTAGTTTATTACTTGTGTTATAGGTTTTGGTCTGATTTCATTCAGCCTTTGATCACTCATCTTATTGAATAATCAAACTGACTAATCCTTTCAACTCAGGACATGACCAGAAAGTTGTCATAAAACTGCAGACCTAGATTTTAGTTTAAGCAGCCAAAACAGTGTGTGATAAGTTCGTTTTCTTAACGTTAATATTCAACATGTGAATAAATAAATACACTTATTGTAATATCACAACGTCACCAAAATGATGTGGCATGTATTGTTTCCAATAAAAACAAAAAACAAATAACAGATACATAATGATAATTATTAAATCAATTATCTTTTGTTATTTTGCACGTTCTATATGATTAATAAAAAAAATGAAATATGGACTTAAAACGTATGACATATTTAGGCTTTAATCGTGTTGAAATAGGAGACGACTGTTGAGTTTCTCACCTGTCTTTGAACGCAACCTTGAAGTTGTGTGGCGTTAAGGTGCAGAACTTTAACATGGAATGTTTATTTTGAGTGAGAAGTTTAAGTAACTTATGTATAACTTCAAGAAACTGTTTATGTAAATTATAGTATATGTATAAAGCAATACGCAAACATAACCGTGACTGTGTTTGGTTGTTTATTTACTTATTGGCGATTTGAGTGCCTTCGTGTTGGACTCACCTGGTTTCTCTCTCAGAGCCATGACTGACACCATGTAATGCGCCATGTCAAAGTACGGAAACATGGACAAGTTGGCCAGTCCTTGAGACAGTTGGTCCAAATGCATTATCCCAAACACTTCCATGATCATCTTCTCTTGAACAATTTTGCGGCGAATGTGGGAAGATCTAAATCATCGTTAAGCTGAAAGGTAAAGCCTTTGATTAAACTCCGAGCATCAAAGCCAAACACTGGGCTTCATCCACGGTCGTAGTCACACAGCTGGGTTCACATGCTCAGTAAACATACACTGGTCCACAGATGTTTGTTTGACCCCGGGTATCGAGCAACAGCCCCTTGTACTGTGGGGGTGATGGTCATAACCGCTATTGAAACCGCTGTCAGCGGCGCATACACGGAATTCCTGCTTTCTGTTCCGCCATAGTAGTGATGTGGCGGGAGGAGCTACAGCTGTTCCCTGATTGGCCAAGGCACCCGGCGGTTAGCCAATCAGGTGACACAATGTGGCTGCGAGCCCAGACGCAACAAAGTCAGCTGTCAAAGTTGAAAAATAAAATAAAATAATAGAAAACAGTTGTACGTCAAAGTTGAAAAATAAAATAAAATAAAACAGTTGTATAGAAGTCCTAATGTAAATAAACATTTTTAAATATGAACAAATCTATATATTTTTGTAAATATTTGGGCAATTTACCCCTACTGATAAATCAAGAATAAAGACTTGAAAATCAGAATACAAGAATTTATACTTTAAGAGAGTAGTAAAGTTATGAGACAAAAATGGTAACAATACAGGAAAAGGACCCAGAAGTCTCAGGTTAATTAAAAAAAAGTAGTAAGTAATATATGTATTGTAAAAAAAAAAAAAAGTACAATCCAAAAGTATAACGTAGTGATATCTGGTGGAGAGAAATTAAATCAAAGCCACAGTTTACTTCACAACTTACCACACGACAAAATTGATTGACAAATAAATCTTCACAACTTACCACACGACAAAATTGACTGACAAATAAATGTCTCTATCTTTTCGTAAAGATTTTAGAATAATTACTGTATCAGACAACCGGTGTTGCTGTGATTGAATTAGCGTTTAGTGTAAAGTGTTTGTTACATAAATGAGTTAACGAGGCTCTTGGTTATATCTAAAATAAGAACGCTATGTACAATTTTAAAATGTTGCCCCTAAATTGTCATTATTTAATTAACACAGAAATACCTCAAAATAGTTAAAATATTTTAAAATGCTCAATTCTTCCAAATACATCACGTTTGATGTATTCAGCTAAGCATTAGCTAAGAGAATGCTAAAACGCAGCTAAAAGAAGAAGAAAGAAATAAAACATTAAAGTAAGACAATAAAAGACTAGAACTTGTTTTCGACCAGGAAAAATATCAAAATCTAGTTAAAACTATTTGCATTAAAATTTCACATTTAATACTTTTAAAGTGCTATTAATTTGAAAATAGTATCCAGTGGTACCGTGTACTGAGCTAGAGCAGCTCGTCAATAATATTTTCTGTAATGAGAACAATTAACCTGTAGATGGCAGCAGACAATTTCCTCTTGCCTTTGTGTTTCGGTTACACATTGTTGTCAATGTTTATTTGTCACAACTCTGTTACAAAAGTAGTATCACAAACAAAACGTAACGTATCTCAGTAATGTAACGAATTTAAACGTGTAATGCGTCAAATTAAATCTTACAAAATTTGAATTATACATACAGATCGTTAATAACTGCAAAATGTGAATGATGAACTGATTCGCGATCATATTTATCACATTATAATTATTGACAGCTGTAAGTGACAACGGATAAACACTGCCATTAGAGGTCACGTGATAACACGAGGACACACGGCCTGGTGTGATGAAAACACAACACTGACTGGGGTGAAGACCACTGCTGTGTGTGTGTTGGCAGCCAGTGCAGCGGCTGGATGTGTGTCATCTTGTCCAAACTTTGGATTCCTTACGTCATCATCGGAAGCTGTAGGTTATTTCCACCAGCCTGCGTGTAAGCTGTGGCTGAGATAACCCTGATTAATATATATTATAGGGCTTCGGGTTCAAGGCTGAAGGCTGCTGGTGATTTCAGCATGCACACACTCTCACATGCACACACACACACACACACAGAGTGCTGCGGGCTCTTCTCATCAGTATTCTCAGACAGTGTTGCAGGATTAAATTGTGTCCAGGGCTTTGACAGCACAGGGACAGCCTCTCTTTGCTCATATTTCTGGGGCTCACCACAACAGCAGGGTATTTTAGAACAAATGCAATCTTAATTCAACTCTGCCTCCGGCTGTTGAACCCATTAAAAGTAGGTTACCCCCAATTCAAACTCCCACCAATCTCCAATACAGTGCAGTATAACAGAGAGCCAACCAAGGTGAGCTTGTGTTTGGTTTCTCTAAGAATAGACCATAGCAGTTCTAAGCAGGTTTTGCACAACAGGAGCTGGTACCAAGAACCAGGGGTTGTACCAGGAACTATGTACAAAGTGTCTCCACTGTAGGGGACTGTGAATGGAATTTAAGTACTGGAGCTTTTGGGTTCTGTGTAACATTGTCTCAAATGAAAGAAGAGATTACCCATAGTGGTATCAGATACTAGCGTAGACTGTAGTTTGTCCTGGTTTGTCTGTGAAATATTTTAAACAAGAAAGGACACAATGGATTTCGACTAAACACGACTTTTGTGTCTGCATTTCTTGCATTTTTGGCAAGAAGTGCATGTAGAAAGACCTGAATAAATTTTGTTTTATAAAACATGTAATTAAATATGAGATAACAGCAGGCCTTACCTTACAGATGACTTTTTATCTTTCCTATTAGCCTTTACTATACCACATTTAGCTCGGGTTCATTGATTTCTTTTTTCCCCCTGTGCGATCCTAAGGAGTGCAATAAGCTGTAAACAGTATTGACAAATATATTCATCACTTGAAAGTAATAGATAGAAAACGTGTTTTCCACACATTCAGCAGACGAGGGACAATGAAAACGCCTTCATTGAAGTTGTGTTTTTGTGCCTTTGATGAATTGATTTCAGTGGGGTTTTTTTCTTCTCCTGAGGGAAATATCTGGATGGTTATTTGTTACTCCTGATTTCAGTGGCTGAAGGTGAAGTTTGGCTCCGACTGCAGTCTTTTTCAATCTTATCAGATCCAGCCTACCAAACAAGCGGAAATACTCTTTAAACAAAAAAAAAAAACAAAAAAAAAATAGAAGAAACCAAACCTTTTTTTATTGCCCTTTGTTGGTTTAGTTTTTGGTTTGAGCGCCAGGTGATCTCAGTAGTGGAGCCGTACACCACTGAAAATGTTGTCACCAAAACTTAATTAAAATAGCTGAATAAATCAGACATTTATACATCAACTGTAATTTAATTTAAAGATTTATTTAATCTGAAGGAATAT